AGTACTGAGTCTGCGGGAGAAGCAAGATTTACAAACTTTTTGGAGTTACTTTTAAGGGCAGATTTCAAAGCACTTCTTTTGAGGTTTATGGATAAGAGAGACTGATAAGCAATGTGTTTATTGTGGATGGAATTTGTTATTGGTAAAGATTTAAATATATATAAGGGAATTTTAATGTTTTAAGTAATGTTTAAATTTGTGTTTTGGAGGGAGTTTATAAAGAATGATGGATAATAATATAAGTATGATATTAGAAAATGTTTAGAGTATACTATAACGTGTTTAATGATTGCAATTATTATTTTTTAGAGAAGATAACCTATTTAATTTAATGTATTTAGATTTGCTTAGGATTTATATGTGTTTTAAGTTTCTTTTTGAGAAATTTTAATTAAGCCTGTACTCAGCTCTGGGAAGGTTGGGGGAGGGTTTCGAAGGTTTGGGGAGGTGGGGGAGGGTATGGGAGGGTGGGGGGGTTTGGGGAAGGGATTTGTTTTGTAAAATTTAAAAACTTTCAATAAAAAAAATAAAACTAAAAGAAATAATAATAATAATAATAATAATAATAATAATAATAATAATAATAGTAAAGTTGGAAGGGACTTTGGAGGTCATCTAGTCCAACCCCCTGCTCAGGCAGGAAACCCTATACCATCTCGGACAAATGGCTGTCCAGTCTCTTCTTAAAAATTTCTAATGTTGGAGCATTTACCACTTCTGGAGGCAGGTTGTTCCACTGGTTAATTGTTCTAACTGTCAGGAAGTTTCTCCTTAGTTCTAGGTTGCTTCTCTCCTTGCTTAGTTTCCACCCATTGCTTCTTGTCCTGTGTTCAGGTGCCTTGGAAAATAGCTTGACTCCCTCATCTTTGTGGCAGCTCCTGAGATATTGGAACACTGATATTATGTCCCCCTTTGTCCTTCTCTTCATTAAACTAGACATACCCAATTCCAGCAGCCGTTCCTTATATGCTTTAGCCTCCAGTCCCCTAATCATCTTTGTTGCTCTTCTCTGTACTCTTTCTAGAGTCTCAACATCTTTTTTACAGCGCGATGACCAAAAGTGGATGCAATATTCCAAGTATGGCCTTACCAAGGCATTGTAAAGTGGTATTAACACTTCATGTGATCTTGATTCTATCCCTCTGTTAATGCAGCCCAGCACTGTGTTGGCCTTTTTGGCAGCTCCAGCACACTGCTGGCTCATATTTAGTGATTGTCCACTAGGACTCCGAGGTCCCTCTCACAGTTACTACTATTGAGCAAAGTACCCCCTATACTGTACCTGTGCATTTGGGTTTTCTTGCCTAAATGTAGAACCTTGCTTTTTTCACCATTGAATTTCATTTTGTTAGATAGCATCCAGTGTTCAAGTCTGTCCAGATCCTCCTGTATCCTAAGCCTGTCTTCTGGAGTGTTGGCTATTCCTGCCAGCTTGGTGTTGTCTGCAAATTTGATGATTTCCCCATCTATCCCCTTGTCCAAATCGTTGATGAAGATGTTGAAGAGCACTGGGCCTAGAACAGAGCCCTGGGGCACCCCACTACACACTTCCCTCCATGTAGATGCGGTTCCACTGAGGACCAGACACTGAGTACGGCCGGTCAGCCAGCTACGGATCCATCTGGTGGTGATGCTGTCTACCCCATGATCATGGGGATGAAACATGAGCATAAGTCACTTATTTGCTGCTATTGTAACTTTGAACTTTGACCTTGTTGTAAGTCAAGGACTACTTGTATAGGAAGAATACAGGATTATTTCACTTCAGAAAGCTACTACAGTTGGAAGAAATAGATCAGGGGTCTTCTAACTTGGCCCTTTTATGACTTGTGAACTTCAACTCCCAGAATTCCTCAGCCAGGCATGCTGGCTGAGGAATTCTGGGAGTTGAAGTCCACAAGCATAAAAGGGCCAAGTTGGAAGACCCGACATAGATAAATGACCAGACGAACGTGACATGTCTTTAACTGCCGTTTGATTTGCTTGGGGTAAAGCAGTTTTCTCTGCTTTTACATTTCCGCATAAAGCCTGAGATTCTGTTCTTCAGGTGTGTTCCAGAAGATCTATTTTTTTAAAAAAACAAAACAAAACTTTAAAACCTTTCTTGTAATGATGATGAAAACAACAACAGAAACAATAATGTGCCCTTTGTGGCATGTTTTGGATTGAAGGATGTGTTTGTTTTACTCTTCCTGGGCATTTGTCATTTCTTTCTGTTCTTTATTATTTCAAGATGTTTTAATAGTTCATGCCACCCAGAGTTGCTGTAGAGTTAGGCAGCCATACATATTTGAAAATAAATCAGTGAATGGAATCTTCCATTCTCTTTGCTGAGACTTTGGACAGAGAAATCCTATTTATAGTAGACCAGGAGTTTCTTATGATCTGCTGGAGGCATTACACTTTTGTGTTTTTTCATTTTTATAGCAACCTGCTGTTTTCTTACAATCTGAATAGTGTGGTACTTCATCTCCTTTGCCACTGAATGTGTGCCTTGTGGGTATTTAAAGTTAAAGGAGGAGATTTTGTATTTTAAGCTATTCTTTTTTGCAATAAATTCTGATTTAATTTCCCACTTCTGAAATTGGCTTGTCTCCTAAGGAAGGGAGGACCATTTCCCTACTGTCCACCCAAACTCAAATTTTACATTTTTATCACCTACTTTTCTCATACACCAACGTTAGGAGGAGGCAACTGGTGAGAAACTCTGTGGGGGAAGGTAAGTGGTGGGAGTGATGGCAGTGGTAAGTGGTGGCTACCCCAAAGCAAGAGGGAGGGGAATCTTCCTTCCTTCCTTCCTTCCTTCCACCCATCACAGTTTTTCACAGCCCTTCTCACCTAACTGACTCTGGGTGGCTAGGGTATGGATAGAGATAGGGTATGATGACCTTGAAAGCTTATGGAAGAAGAGATCTGAGATTCCAGCTTTCCAGAAGCACGGAGTATACTTTTGACAGAAGAGAAAAGGTAATCCTTGAGTTATGACCACGACTGAACCCAAAATTTATGTTGCTAAATGAAACATTTGTCAAGTGAGTTTGCCCCATTTTACAACTTTTCTTGCCACAGTTGTTAAGCGAATCTGCCTCCCCTATTGACTTTGCTTGTCAGAAGGTCGCAAAAGGGAGTCACATGGCCCCCTGGACACTGCAACCGTTATGAGTCTGTTGTCAAGCATCTGAATTTTGTTCATATGACCCTGGGGATGCTGCAACGGTCATAAGTGTGAAAAACGGTCATAGGTGACTTTTTTAATGCTGTTGTAACTTTGAACGGTCACTAAATGAACTGTTGTAAGTTGAGGACTACCTGGTATTTATAAATGCATAGAAGTGTTGTTTGGAGAGGTGAGAGTTCATCATTCTTATTTCCTTCCCTTCTGTTCTTCCTGCCCCACCACCAATCTGATGAAGTGGACCTTGATCCACAATAGCTTATGTGTTAATAATACATGTGAACAGGTCAGGTCTCACAAAACTCTTTGTTGTTTTTGCCGCAAAAGAATAACAAAGCTAAGCGATCCTTTAGAAACTATAATAAAATCCATACTCCAGCACTCCTTTGCCCCTACTAAACCTTTTTAAAAAAGGATATGTAAAAGGGAAATATTCTTACAGTAACTAAGGATGGGGGAAGTCCAGATTCAGCATGCCCAAAGTGGGGGGAGGAGGCAGAGAGGGAGGTGTGAGGATGAGAAGAGCATAAGATGAAAGAATGCCAGAGGAGAGGATCCAGATGGAAAGTAGGAAAACACAGTTTCCTAACAGGCCTCCATTTCTCAGCCTTTCATCATCATTTGCTTGGGCTCTGCCCTGACCTCTCCTTCTGGCGGGTTACAAATAAGTGGCAGATACTGTGAGAACAATAGGGTAAAACTCAAAGGAGATCAAAATAGGCTCCATAAAATGGCAAGAATCCCGATGCCATTATATATATATATAATGGTTGGAAACTGATCAAAGAGAGAAGCAACCTGGAACTAAGGAGAAACTTTCTGACAGTGAGGACAATCAACCAGTGGAATAGCTTACTCCCAGAAATCGTGGGTGCTCCATCACTGGAGATTTTTAAGAGAAGACTGGACATTCACCTGTCTGAGATGGTGTAGGTTCTTCTGCTTGAGCAGGGAGCTGGACTAGAAGACCTCCACGGTCCCTTCCAGCTTTATTCTATTCTATTCTATTCTATTCTATTCTATTCTATTCTATTCTATTCTATTCTATTCTATTCTATTCTATTCTATTCTATTCTATTCTATTCTATATACTGACAATTCGATCTCTTTTACAATATGAAGTAGAACTACAGTGATCATAGGTATTTCAGAAAGCTGTCCTTCAGCTTTATTTATTTTTCAAAAACTTAGTTCTGGCTTTTATTTTTGGTTATTTAATTTTTGCCAGGCAAATGGTACCATCTAATGTGTAGTCTGATTGCAGAAATCTTTCTTAACACATGCCTCTTATTACTTCAGAGATTTTTATTCTTTGCAGATATTTTTTATTACAATATGCTTTTTTGAATCGTTCTTCTTTGTTTTGCTCTTTTTCGTGAGTGAAAGGAAAGAAGAGGATAACCAACAGCAAGATGGATGGACTCAGTTGCAGTGACAATGGGTGCACTTTTGGAAGTTCTGAAGGACTAGGTTATTATGGGGGGAGGGGAGGAAATCTATTTATATGATAGCTAAGAGTTGACACCAGCTTGTGAGCTCATAATCAATCAGTCAATTGGCTGAGGACACCAAATGGTTTACATACTCTCCAAATCACCTCTGCACTGTCCTTGTGGAGTACTGTCCTTGTGGTGAGATGGGTGGCAAACAAATGTAATGAACAATAAATACATAATTAAATGACTGTTACAAATAGGAAAAGTTAATATGTTCATTTCTTGAACCTTAAACTCTCATTTGACCTAGGAAAATCTCATTTGATTTATGACAGAACCTCTGATAAAACTGTCAGAAGTCCAGGACAGATACGTTAATGAGTACTTACCTGGGCATAGTTCTCTGCTCGAGTTAGCAAAGGCAACTCATAGGCAGTGGAGAAATGTGTGCGAACCTGTTGCATTTGACCAAATCGTTCTCGTTTTCTCCATTTTGCTCTTCGGTTCTGAAACCAAACCTGAGGAAATCAGCACCGAGAAATCCACATCAGAGAAGAAGCCATCAGTACCATTTTTCTAAAGACAGTTCATTCAGAAGGTTTAAACAAGTACAATTGTGTCACTTATTTAAAAGTGGTGCTTTACATTGCATACAAGCACAAATCAAGCACCTTTCTTTGAGCTGTTAAAGCAACCATCCATTGCAGAAAGTAAAGCAAAATAGTGTTTCTGCATGCATATGGGAATAAGCTGTGAATTGCAACAAGCTGTAGTTGTTTCAAGTCTTCCAATGATGAGGCTACTTTAACTATTTGAAGAGATATGCATCGATCATGCTATGAACCATCTCTTCCAAATATTTTGTTTAGCTAGTTAATAATTTGAAGAGACCCAGTTTGGTGTAGTGATTAAGGCATCAGGCTAGAAACTGTGACATTGTATACTCTAGGAAGGAGGCCATGGCAAATGCCTTCAGAAAAAGCTTCCCATGAAAACAGCTGGGGACTAGTCCAGACAGTGACCAGGAGTTAGCACTGATTCAAAGGCATAATAATAAAATGGAGGCAGAGGTTTACTTCAGGTCAAACAAGCTGATTATGTAAAAGACAGCCAAGAACAAACATTGATGCATGTTAAAAACTGGAACTTACTAAATGTACAGGAAACAGTAATTGAATATTGAAATAATGTAATGAAAGCATGAACAGAATGCTGGCAAGGAAAAACTTTGCATAGTCAATGTCTACAAAAGATTGAGGGGAAGGTGGAATAAAAATCAAACCTGGCAATGGCTTACAACTGGAACATTTTAAAAAAAGAAACCGAGGGCTTGATTTTGGCTGCTTACAGCAAGCTATTTGAACTAATGCAATCAAGGCCAGAACTGAAAAACCAGCAAATGATTTTGGTGCAGATTGTGCACCAAAGCACAAGAAATAGTAGATCATATATGTAGCTCATGCAAGATCAAAACAACAACATAACACAGTTGCCAAAATGATTCACTGGAACATCTGTGAAAATGATCATGTACAGTACTGAAAAACTGGTGGGAACATAGACCTGAAGTAATAGTAAAAAATGAGCAGATTAAAATATTGTAGGATTTTTGAATACAGACTGATTTAAAGTCTTGGCTTATAATGCACCAGATGTAACTGGGGTTGAATAGATAATTGACACGGTAGAATTGAAGATGAAAAAAATGAAGAATATCACAAAGTATCAAGATCTGAAAATTGAAATTGAAAGATTAGGGCATACAGCGCCCATCTCAGTCCCAGTGGTTATCAGCACACCGGGTCTCTTGGAGAGCTCTTAGAAAAACTGCTCATTGACAAAAATTTCCATTTGTCAATTACAAAAAACACACTACTGGGATCCACACATATATTAAACTAATACATTGTGACATTCTAGGTTCTTGGGAAGAACTCGATGCATATGAAGGCCCATACCAGCTAAAGAACTGGCAGCTGTGATTTCACATTGTTGTGAGCAGATATACTATTGTAATAATAACTTAAAATCCAAATGGACAGGCACTATGGTTTGCATCCAAAAAAGTCATATTGATTGGCTATGTTTGTTCAAGAGCTGAAGGGGGTAGAGGACTTCTACAAATGTGGTGGAAGAAAAGCATGGTCTGACTGATCACATTAAGAAAAGCCAAGAATCTTTGCTGAAGAAAGTCAGTTAAGGAAAACACTTGAAAACAATACAGGTGAATGTAGAATATAGAAATGAAACAATTAATTTAATTTTAGATTACCTAAATAATAATAATAATAATAATAATAATAATAATAATAATAATAATAATTGAAAGGAAAAATGCTGCTCCTGAAATCTAGCAGTAGAAGCTATCCCAAGGGTCATCTAATCATATCCCTTGTTCAGCACAGGGTCCTTTGAAATGAAATGAAAATCTCTACTTCATGAGGCAATTTTTTTTCACTGATTGATAGTTTGAACCATCAAGAAATTTCTTCTGAAATCAAGCCTGAATCTATTTTCCAATTGTTTCAACTGGAACAGTTGAACAGTTATGGGGCAACAGAGCACAAATCCATTCCCTCCTCAGTATGATAACCTTTTAGATATGCAGTGACTGGTACCACATCATGAAATACTTTGTTGAATGCTTTGCTGAAGTCTGAAGATATTATGTCTATGATATTTCCCTGATCCATTATGCTAATAGCTCTGTCAAAAATGAAATTAAAACTAATCTGGCCTGGCTTGTTTGTGACAAGCCCATGCTGGGTCTTGTGAACTGTTGCATTCCTATCCAAGTGCTTACAAATATGTTATTTAATTATCTGTTTGAGGACCTTGCACAGTATAGACATCAAGTTAAAAGAGCTGTACTTTACAGAGTCTTTTTTTTTTTTTGGAGACAGATTCAGCCTTTCCTTTCCTTCAGTCTTCTTAGATCTAGCCATTCTCCAGAATTTCTTAAAGTGTAAAGTTGGCAGTCCTAAAGTCTTCTCTGCTCCTTTCTTTGGTACTTTAAATTAAAATTCACCTGGTTTTGGAGACCTGAATTTGTTTACTTTAACTAAAATGTTCTTTTGCCATCTCCTTGCCTATCTTAACAGGCAGCTCCCACCTTCCACCAGTTGGTGCTATCTTATCATATCCTTTCTTTCACATGATGTCATTTATATTGTGTTTTTATGTTGATTGTAATGTGCTACAGCACTATTTTCTTTAGCATGTGTCTGTGCACATACAGACACATGCTAAAGAAAATTAATAGTAACAATAGTGCTATTACTATTTCATGCAGGAAACCCCCCCCCAAACCCAAACAGGATCCAGAATGCAAATTGCAAAACCCAGATTAAAGCAAATAATATTTGCTCTCCAACAAAACAAAGGTGCATTCCCAAAAGTTGATTAGTTTTTGGCTATAGCTCACATTTTAAGTATCATATATGTGATTTACTGCTGAGAGCTGGAAGAGTCCAAAGGCCTATTTAAGCTAGAATTCTATTTCACATATAAGATACATTTAAGACATTTATCATATGGACAAGAAAGTAACATTCCTCACCTACTATTGTTCTCTAGCAACTGACATTTAACATATGCTGCCTATGATTTAGGCAATAGTAAACAGCTTTTTCAAGCTATATAAATTGGTGGCTATCATCAATGTCATAGTAGAGAAATCTACAGTTAATTCTACCATATCTAACTCTCGGACTGCTCCACATACAGTAAAAAGTTCTTACATTTTAAGATTCCAAGCCTAGAAACACTGATATTGTCATAATACTTTATGCATATAATAAAGCTAAATTATCAATAATCAAAAAAAAAATCTAAAGTAAGAGTTGAATTAGGATTTTAATCAATTGTCATGATTTCCATCCTTTGCTGCAGCTATTAAAAAGATTAATTTCAGTCTGGATGATACAGTGCTTAAAATACTATTATAATTCTTATTTTTAAAAGAAATGCTGGCTGGGGAATTCTGGGAATTGAAGTCCACAAGTCTTAAAGTTGCCAAGTTTGGAGTTATAATGTAATGTAATGATAATAACTTAAAGGGCAATAATTATAATAAATCATAATAAGCAAATAAAGATCCCAACATTTCTTTGCACAAGTGAAATTTCTAGGTTCTAGTCTGCTTTACATGTGTTTGTTCCTCTTAATAGAACTCAAGAGACGAATAAACATCACCATGAAACATAAGACAATTATGTAATGCAGATGTATAAAGGTATGTGAACTGACCTGGTTTTATTTCAGTGAATATTTTCCCATGTTGCCATGTATTATTTTCCTATTATTCCTATTTTATTTGCCATTTTGTGTATTCTTCTTGCCCCTGATCCCTTTTTAGAACTGATAATAGGAGAGAATAGCAGTTCCCTTTTCTGTCATCCCTTCTCCTATTTTTAGAGTCCGACTTCCCTTTTAAACTGCTGGAGCCATTCTTGCCAGTGTCTCACTTTGATCTCGGAAAAGAGATTTCCTTCTGCTTGCTTGAAGTTGGCAAGGAGCATCTCAGTGACCTCCCCAGGCGGGGGAGATGAGATGGTTTGTTGCTTATCCAAGTAGCATCACTCATTTGTGTGTAATGGCTAGGGCTGCATTTGTACAACTGTCTGCCAGCTGTAGCATTTTGAGTTATGGCAATTATTTTGGCCTTGCCTGGCCTGTACTTTATACCAGAAATGATGATGATTCCCTACTAGTAAGACAGGAACTCTGAGAGACTACAAGATCAAACAGGGAGCATGCTGATGGGAGGGGAGAATGGTGATGATGCTGGAACACACACTTATGGGGGGGGGGGAACAGCCTAAGCAATAGGGCTGAAAGTATCTATCACCCTAGCTAGACTGCCTTGCCTTCACCATACATTGACATTGACCCCTCCTGTAAACAGTCCAGCTGGCAGCCACTTGCAAGCTTGGCCAAGCCCGTGTATCTTTGATCTGCAGATGCAGAGTCCAGGATGCTGACCCTGCTGTGTGAAAAGGAGTGGGTAACAGGTAGAGAGGGTGCTCTCAGTGGGGAGCAGAACATATGCTATGCAGATGTGCCCATCTCCATCAATGGCAAACACATTTCTCTCTGTCAGTGTAAACCATTCCCGAAGGTCCTCTTGAATATGCATGATGTATGCTTCAGAATTGTTCTAGGCTATCCAGGCATGCCCAAAGGCGAGGAGAAACCTTAACAGCAACTTTTGATGGGAAGGCTTGTGCTGGCAATATGTGTAAAAAAAAAACCAAATATCAAAGCCGCTTTTATATTCACAGGTTAAGCTTTTCAGAGGAATGAAGCTGACCTTGCACCTCTAAGTAGGTTGATCGGAGAGGGAACCAAGATCTAATTTTCCATTTCAGAATGATCAGGCATTTGAGGAAGTACAGTGCTGCGTGGAGAGCAAGTCTGTGGAGCAGATGCCACAATTCTATTCTGCAGAATGAATAGGAGACCCTCTGACACAGCACGGCTGATTTAATCCATTTTAATGTAAGGAAGTAATCTAAAA